GACTCCAAATTAATGCCAAATTAATTTCACCCAATTACAGACAACTAGGCGCCACCAAGCAGCCAATTATGCCACATGCCGCAACATCAAAGCGCAGCGCATACATCAAATGTGCCAAAAGTGGCAGACAGCCGGCATGTTGCAACACTTGGCGGTAGCAACATATGCACATACCTATATATATTTTTCAATTTTCATAAGCGCTAATTTTTTTGCGTGTTCATTTCATAATTCATAGCTCACCGTTCCCCCTGACACCTTGCAACATCGAATTTCGTTAGATTTTCTATGCGCCTCTTCAATCGCCGCCAAAGGCAGCCAGCAAGTCAGCTCCTTGCCATTGCCATCACCACCGCCAGACTGTTAATTAGTCATAAAGATCAAACAAATTGCATGCCACATGTATTAAATGCAACAAATGGCTGCGCTCCGACGTATTAGAAACGTGTATGAAAAATACGCCAACAAATATGGTAACCGCAAAAAATTATGCATAAATTTCTGCCACAATGCGCTGCCGCCATCATTGGTCGACTCGTCTGGCCAACTATTCCCGCCACCATCTCACCGGTTTTGTTGACTTGCCGCGCTTTGTTGCGTGTCTGGTGTCACTGCGCGCCAGGAGGTAGACTCTAAGTAGCACTCCTTGTGCTCTCCTAACGTCGCCCGCCTGCCTACTCGTCCGTCTGCGTAATCGTCTATGTCAATGACAAGCAGCAATTATGAGCGCATATCTGCTCTATATCTAGTATGCTTGTCTGCGCCGCACCACCCACCTCTGTCGTCCCTTAGCTCCAAGCTACCTTTCACTTATTCGCACTTTGCTCAACCGCCTCGCTGCCGTGTTCTCCACGCTTATGAAATATGACGTTGAAATAAATTATTTTTCCCGAGAAAAATGCAACTTGGTGGAAAATCGAAAATTATCATGAGACAGATGTGCCACAGCAGCGACGGCAGACATGTAATATGCATTTGCAACATTTATTTCTTAATTTTGCATTTCGCTTTTTCTGATTCGCATATTTTTTTTTGTTACGTGTTCAGCCAAATGCGTCGTGTTAAATTTTGCGACGCATTATGGATCGTTAATGTGTGGAGCTTGTCGTGAAGGTTATGACAAGGGGGGTGTTACTGCAGCTCATTGTGTTGCTTTTAAGTGCTTTTTCATGCTTGCGTTTGCTATTTATTAATATGCCGTTATTAATAACTCAGGGACCAATACTAGGAATTCTCATTTTTTAATCTTAATTGCATTTCTGTGAATTTTTTGAGAGCTGTAGTCAGTAAGCCGATTTTTGAGGATTAATAATTATCATTGTATAGGTTTTTAAGGAGGTACTTATAAACATATATGTGGTCCTGACATAGATCTGGAATAGTTCACTAGTACCTCAGGTACCCTGTGATATGTAGATTTCACGACATCCTTGCATGTTTAATTTGATCAATTCTTGCATAGTTCTTCAAAATCTAGTTTATACACTCTAAATGTATTCCTCTCTCAACTTTGATGTCTTTTAAGTAACTTTCGAGGGAACGTGATCAAATCACGTTCAAATTGAGAAATTTTGAATGAATCTAAGAATTAATCAGGCAATGTATAATAGTCTTCCGAACTGAACACTTTGCGCTACTTACTTACAACAGAGAAAAGTTTTATGTTGTCATAACCACGATAAGACCTTATAGAATGAAGATTCGTAAAATAAATTGAAGTAATATCAACAGATTTCTATACTCTTACTAATATTGAAAATACTTGAGGAATTCTTATTTTCAGACTTTCAGTACTAACTCAGCACCTCCTTAAGGTTCTTCGTACCACCACAACATCATGTTATTAAGACTGAGATATGTTGCCTACCATAAAAAAAAATACTACTTTGCAAGTAAACTTTAATATATTTGTAGCACTGGACCTAACAATCGACACGTTCCACTATACAAAGCTGCTCTAAGGTATGAAGAAGTGTTGAAAATGTAAGCAAGGAATTATCTGGTCTAGAATTAATCATCAGTGACCTTTCGAAGTCAATCAAGTTACAAAAACTATATATTCAAGGCATCCCGCTGAGTCGAAACCCCTCTATACCCTGTTTACCTTACCTTGAAACACTCTGAACTACCTCTGAAGGAGTTGATGACATCTCAATGGGATGATTGAGCGCTGGCATTGTTGGCGTGTATTCCCGACCTTTCACACTTCAGCACTACAAAGTCCAAAACCCTTTTCAGTATGAAAATTTATAAATATTTCCTAAAAGAGCGAAGGAGCCCAAATGTCTTCGAAATATTTGAATCGATTATTACTACTCGATAATGGTCTTATAACACAGTGCTTGAGGTCGATGAACAGGGAGCTTATTATTGTTTAAGTCAGGTCATGAGAAGAAAGTTTTTTCCTGAGTTAGTGGTGGGTGCTTGCATTAGAATACTCATAGAATGAAACATTTATACTTTGTTTTAAAATATAAAAGGTTTTATCAGGCAATATTAGTTAAGATTTAAAGTGCCAAGCCCTGTGTTGATAGTACGTCAATGTCCTAACAGGAACCTCCAATATGCCATTTCTTCAATGAACGAAACTATGCGAAAAACACAAATTCCCAAAATTTAGACCACCAAATGAGGATAAATATGAACAAGAGGGCAAATCTTACCAAAAGTTTTCGACTGCATGTAGTTTCTGGTTCTCCTATATGGCAAAGTAAACCAAACAAAGAACAAAATGGGTCAGCCCAGTTCCCTTCTCTTTATTATGCAGTAATGGCTCCAACATAGGCTCTAATCAGTACCCCTGAAAGTCAACTTATTCATATTTGAAGAAGTTTACAAGGTCTCGACTTGCAAAGCGTTTCAATATTTTTATACCCTAAACAGGGTTTAAGTTTGCTGTGAGTTTTGTATATAGTACTCAAAAGGAAACGCTGGAGACTCTATAAATATATATACATAAATGGTCAGCATGATGAGCTGGGTCGATTTAGCCACGTTCATCTGTCTGTATATATGCGAACTAGTTCCTTTTGAGATATCATTCGAAAATTTTGCATATATTCTTTCGTCACCAATGAGCTGTTTATTTGTTGGAACCGCCGATATCGGACCACTATAGGATATAGCTGCCATACGAACTTATCGATCAAAATCAAGAACTTATATGGAACACTTTTTTATTTGCTAAGATATCTTCCCGAAATTTGGTACAGATTATTACCTATATCATCGCTACAATCTTCGAAGAAATTGTTCAGATCGGACTACTATAGCATATAGCTGTCAAACAAACTTGTCAAACCAAATTAAATTCTTGTATGGAAAACTTTTCTAGTTGACACGATATCTTCGCGAAATTTGACTTAATTTATTGTCCAAAGCAACGCTGCAATCTTCGAACATATTGCTCAGATCGGATAACTATAATATCAGCCGTAGTTAACGTTTTATCTTGTTTCTCCCCAAAATAAATCGTACAACTCAAATTTTACTTGAATTCTTCTGCATTTATAACTTTTTAAATCATTTTTTCCACACTTGACTTTCAATTATTCTATTAAAAATCAAAGCTAGTTTCAATTAAATAATTTATTTCCCTTTCTAGCATTTTCTCGACATATCTTCAAGTACTATTTATCAAATTTATTTCACACTTGCATGCAAATTAAATTTCCGACTGTGCCGGCAAATAATTCAAGTATTTACTGCCGCTTACACAGATTACAACAGCAACAAGGCAAAAGCATAAAATCAAAAAACAATAAAAAATTGAATTTTTTCATTTTTAATTTACGCAGACATGAAGATGTCTCGGTCTAGAAATTATAATTTATTCAGCGCGCTCACCCAGAGATCAGCCAACAGCCAGCACTCAGCAGTCAGCCGACAGCATACGACTAGCAGAGGGGAGTACGAGCAGCGCACGCTCGCTGTTAAGGAAACTCGGCTGCCAGTGACAGTGCAAACACAAAAATAAAAGCGACAAATATTTTTGCACAAAAAAAAAAAGCGGAAAAATATAAATATAAAATTAAATAAAATTCCGCGGCATTTAGCACATCTGCTTGGCGGCAGCAGGCGCGACACTAACTGCCACCCGTTATGATGAAGTGCCGCCAGCAGGCGAGCGACCAGCTGGGCGCGCTCTGTGCGATGTGGCAATGTGTTGGCGCAATTTTTGGGTGGCAAATGCGTAAAATATTTAACAAATACGCTGAGTGCAGTTACCAACCAACATGCAACGTGCAGCATACTATATATGGTATATTATATTGTGCGTCAAGAGGGTGGGATGGGGCCGTAAGCGGCCTGAGTGCTGTTACATTATGAAGTGTTTGGCATGCCGCGCTTAATAGTTGTTGAAGATGATGTATGAGCAACAGCATGCCGTTATATGCACACGAACACATACATACATACACACACACATCCATATTTCTCATCTGTGGGCGCGCTTATCTGCATTTTTATGCGCTTGTATGCGTCGCATGCAACCGACTGTGGCAACTTCACCACTGTGCGCGTCAACTTTACCGCGCGTGGTAAAGTAGGCGTTGGGGGCGCGTGCTGTTGCCGCCATGGGCGCGCGCTAAAGTGCAGACGAAATTTTTGGAATATCCATTACGTTGCAAATGGGGCGCAACCATAAGCATATGAATGCGTATATGCGCTATAATTGTGTCACAAATGCATGCATAAATATACTTGTACTGCTTGCAACATGTGGCACTTACAGCGTACAGCTTCAATTACTGCATATAAATACTTCATTAATTTACACAGCTCCATATATAAGCGCACTTACCCACTTGCTGCATGCCACTCATAAATCCATTGAACTTCCTTCGATTGTGTCGGCCACAAGATTTATATCGGCCGCCTTGTGTTAATTACGTAGAAATCTTCAATGACCTACATACTTGTACATGTCTACTAAGTTGTGATTAAAACTCGAATTATTGCTTGATTTTGCACAATAAATTATCATTTCTTTATTATTTATTCACATTCCTTACTTCATTGTTTCGCTTAATTTCCACTTACTTACTTACATACATATTATATTTTTATGATTTATTTACCATATATCCAGCACTTGCGTTTCGTTTCTAAATATACATATACTAGGGGTGTCCATATTTATATGAATGTGTGTGTGTTTTGTAAGTGAGAAACTGAGTACAAACTCTCTTTTATTAAAATAATTAAAAAAAAAAAACATGATTCCTAAATTGATGATAGTTATAAATAAATATAATGTAGACTTAAAGACTTAACTTTTTGAACACAAAAAAAACATTAACTTTGGCCATACTGAAGCTGTAATACCCTTCATAGGTGCATTTTTTATAGCATAAAATGATATTTCCGTACAAGGATTGATTTTGAGCGATCAGTTTGTATGGCAGCTATATCCCATATTAATCCGGTATTGATGATCTTGGCAAATAAGCAGCTTCTGGAGGAGAAAAGCTTGTGTGCGAAATTTCAGACCGTTACCTCAAAAACTGAGGGGCTAGTGCGCATATAGGTATACCGACAAACGGACTTGACTAAATATACTCTGCTCGTGATGCTGAATTTCTTTCTGTGAAGCGGTTTTTTCTTTCAACATAATTTTAATAATAATGTTACTTCATGAATTCCTCTGAATTTGCATTTAAATCTCTGATTGTAAACCCGCACCCCTCATGGATCCGCCACTGGTATACTTTATGTTAGAGGACTTCCGACGTTTTCTTTGTGACAAACTTAATATGCCCTATTCAGGTTATAAAAATATCGTACAAAGAAATATTATAAGACTTTCTTATAAATTTATCTTCAGCTCATACCTAAAATGACTTAGCTACTCCTTTACCTACTCTTACCAATCGGAATCATATCCGTACGCAGTACATCTAGAACATAAATTTTGTTTGTCATACTTTCATTTTTAAACCAGTTTTCTCTGGAAAAATCTATTTTCTGGCTAAATTAGTTAAAACCGGACTGACTACAGAGCATAGAGCCGATGCAAGTCTACTCTGATGTATATAGAGAAATCAGCTAGGATTTACTCTATGAACTAGCAGAACAGATCGTCTTAGTCTCATTCTAGATATCGACTTTTAAAACCAATTATATATAATATACTTCAAAGCAATGTTTTCTCTATAAAAATAGGTTTGAATTCCTTCTCGATACTGCACTAACTCTACTTATCATTGATTTGCCCTACCAAGTCCCCAAGTTTAGACAAAAAATCACAAACTTTTTAAACTATTTTTATATAAATATTTAGTGAACAGAGTTAACAAACAACCACTTAGCATATCGACATTATTCCGAGCACCTAAAAAAGCAAAGTCAGTACCATTATTGACTGTGTTGTTCCTAGTCGGAGTATAACGGGAAAATAAAAGTGCTGATGAAGACCTAAATGATATTTTCATAGTCGAGAACATATCCTTACCTCTCAAGCAAAAAAATCAAAAGGAAATGAAATTTTATTAATAGCAATTCCTTCAAACTCTGTATATATTAGAACGAGGTTTGACCAAAGAATAGGATAGAGAAGTATCATTCAGAATGTGTTTATATAATATTTTTGATAAACGCGTGGCTTGGTCAGTCTTCATGACACGGTAAACGCACCTGTACGTGCTCCTACTCTGCTAATGACATACTTGCTCATCGATTTCCAGCTCTTTTGTAGCGATATATTCCTCAGACTGCTATATATGAAAATATTATATATTTAAAAGATACAGTTTAATATATGTTGATATTAAAAATATCCTGATAATAAACGCAGGGCAAACCCCTAGCGAGTAATCGGCAATAGAACAGAGGAACTGCCACCTGGGTATATTAATAATAAAGACCAGAATGTAGGCAACGTTTTTGAACATTTTCCTGTAATTTTGCAGTTTATTGCCTACATTTAGGGTGTGGCTAATAGAAGCCTAGTGAAATGCGACCAGTATTAATTTTTTATTTTTCATTTGGTCGGGACAAAGGTTTAGAAATGGGTCAGGTGAGTGATACGTGCCTTAGACTTCTATATTTAATAGGCTCGATTATATATTTAAGAGATATAGCTTCATGTATTTTTATATCAGAAGTATTCTGACACTTAACACTGGTCCAGTAAACGACAATAGAATAAGGGAACCGCCACCTAGTAATATTGATAATATGGATCAGGATATAGGCAACGTTTGTGAATACTTATTATTCTGCGATTCATTGCCTACATTTAGGGTGTAGCTGAAAGGAAGTGATGAAAAATATGAAATAATAATGCAAATTTATTTCGACTTCTATCCTTCAATTGAACTAAAAAAAATTTTAAAATAAAAAAAGAGTTTGAACAAAAAAACAAATTTATTTAAATAATAAAAAAACAAAAATTCAGTTAAATTAATAATTTATTTTTATTTTTATTTTTTTTTTATTTAATATTTCGCACTTGATTTTTCTTACATTACATATTTATAAATTGCATTGCACGCTTTTAACACATTCATAGTGTGTGTTTGTATGTATGTATGTATTGACTTAAATTTAATGTTTTTACTTAGCCACAAATCGTTGCTGATAATTGCCACTTTATATCTTGACTACATAAATTAAAGGCTAAGTACTAAGTATTTATTTTTTTTATTAATAATATTTTATATATATATACCTATTACATTCTAACTGTACAATAAGTTAATGCCACTTAAATGCATACATGCGTTTCATACTAATTTTTATTTAATTATAATTATTTAATTAGTTTCTCCTTGCCCCTGTAATCTAAAACTTAATCGTTCGCTTTAAATTCTAAGCTCTAATTTTATTTCCTTACATTATTCAATAGCATATTTATTCTGAAACTTTTTAGCCACAAATTACGCTCAGTATTGAGTTTTTTGTTTAATTTTTTTTAATTACAATATTCATATGTTCATAATTTAGCAATGATTATTAAGCATTTTTACCTTTTTACGATATGTACTCCACAAAAACCATGTTTTCAGTTTTACTACTCATTAAAAATTAACTTTACATTCACATTTTTCTCTTGCGGTTAAAATGCCGCATAAATAAGTAGTTGAGCGTGGGTTGAAAAGGCTTAAGCAGGTTATTTTTTCCAGGGAAATTGTTTAAAAAAGGCAACAAAATTCTTAAGTTGTTCTCATGGCAAACGCTGATTGTAAAAGAAAAACCGTAAAACCACTGTTAAACTTTTTCCGAAGTTTCTGTTTCTTAGGTTCTATATTATGACAAAATGAGAGAGAACCCAAAAACATTGGTTAAAAAAGGCAATAAAATTCTTAAGTCCTTCTGATCATAGTCACCTTGTCATACTAAATCTCATTGTAAAAGAATACACGGCCTACTTCCGATATGCCTTTTCCAAAATTATTGTTTCCAAGATTATATTGTATATTATGATAAAATTAGATAGAACCCAAACTTGTTGCTTCCTGTTACCAACCTAATTTAAGCGACAACTCCTCCCTTTTAAAGCTAAGAATTATATTGTCCGCGATATGAACTCCCAGTATACCGAAAATAAAAAGTTTATCTATCAAAAATTTCGCGCTTTCTCCTTTTTGCTGAGGTTAGTAGTCCATATAGAAAGCCAAAAACCTACGACTTTTCGATTTAATAGATATTTAAGAAATATACATAACTAAGATAATGCCGCAGAGAAAGAATAGCAAGCCTTATGCATTGGTGTATATTTGGAGCATCTTGATATCTGACTGTCTTTCCGTCTACCAAACTCAGCTAGCATCTTCTAAGCGGAAGTACAAGGCATAGTGAAGACCTGTGGAGTTCTACTGAACAACTACAGGAGGATGCAGTATTCGATCATTTACACAGACAGCCAGACGGCACTACCAACCTTGCCATCGCCACTGATCAATTCCAGCTTAGTAAACAAATGTAAGAAAACTTTAAGCTCACTGGCAGTTTAACTCTATTAGTCCGTACTTTAGGTTTTCGGTCACAGGAACATTTTTAGCAACGAAAACGTCAAATCCGAGGCAGAGCTAATACCCTTTTCGATCTGCCTGCCTATTCTCATCACTTTTCAACCCACAACTCTTCTAACGCTCACAAGCTAGAAAGCTTAACAATCCCTCTTAACAATTTAAATGCCTAAATTTCCACATTTAGTCCACTATATGTTGAACTTCGTTGTGCAACTCATCGATTTGATTACAACTACTTGTCGGCGTTGTTGACAATTCGTCATTTTGATTGTTCTCTGTTTTAATTTTACCTAACATATGCCAAGGCGTTGTCGCTTCTAAAGCTGAGCCGCGTGAAGGGCTCTCCAAACGTCTGTTGTCATCTCTTGTTGGTGTGGGGGATTTACTGTTATCGCCATGTGACTGCGGTGTCATGCCCGGGAAATTATAAGGTGGTGCAAGAAATGGTGGCAGACCTAAGAGTCCCGGTGGATATTTGCCAGCATTTGCGCCATTCGGAAAATGTGGTGGCGTTAGATTCGAAAATGCGCCAGGACTTAGGTCACCAGGCTATATAGGGGTGTTATCAGAGATATTTACACAAGTTAGTGGAAGTAAATTAGCTTTTGGGGATTGCTACCATTAAATACATTCTAGTTATAGACTTTCACTCTAATTACTGTTTTTCTGAGTATCTTGTGTATACCTATATACATATTCTTAGAGTTATGTTATAACCTCGGTACTTACCTTTGGTGGTAATCCATTGAAAAATGGCGGCAAATATGGGAAAAATAGTTCTGGACGTCTTTGCATGAAATCCGCTTCACTTGATATACTGCCAGGTCGATGTAACGGTAATTCAAGTGACATGCGTCTACCACGCCGTGATGTGGGATTCGTCCACATATGCGTGCCCATATGGACCTATATGAAAAGGATGATAGGAGGGTGGGATTTCTTTCAAATATGGAATTAGAGTTTTGACATATTATATAATGGGTTTCAAAAATGAAAACGTTGCCTTAAGTGCTCTACACAAATTTATGAGGCGATCTACGGATAATTAGTAGACATTCTTTCCACGAAACTTTGCTTCGAATGGGATTTATTATTTATTATTATATATTTTAGGAAAGTATTCTTAAACCTAAGCCCCCAAGGATCCACGAAACAGTAGGAATTGGCGCTAATATGAAGCCGTTCTTTATAAACTTCTTTCAGCAAATGATCGGCTAAAATTCTCACGGAGAGAAAAGCAAAATTTTCTAGTTTCTTGAGTTAAAAGGAGTTGAAACGGCCGCCCTGTCAAAGAAAACTCGGCTTACATCTGTAAAGCAAGCATTTTAGCCTAGGTTTTACCCACTAAGTACTAGCATTTACAGTCTATAATTTATAAATTTATACTTCGACTTCGACCCAATACATAAGTAATAGGATATTAAAAACTCCAGTTCCACTTACCTTCAAATTTCCTTTAGTTGTGAAAGCCTTCTGACACACATTACACTGGAACGGTTTGTCCCCCGTATGTGTACGCATGTGGATCTGAAGCGCTGAACTCGAACTAAAGTTTCGTCGACAAACATGACAGAAATGTTTCTGATTCGCCGCAGCGGCTGCGTCGGCACTCAAGCTCGGTGGACCGACCGACATCAGAGCCTGTTGAAAGTCCAATGGGCTCGCCGGGAAACGATGGGCATCTGCGGGCAGCAAAGATTTATGTGACAATTGTTGTTGTGGTTGTTGGTGTGGATGCGATGGCGGGTGTTGTTGATGTTGTTGTTGGTGGTGATGATAGTGGTGATGGTAATGGGCGTTGCCATAATGCAGTTGCATGGATTGCATGGTATCATGCGGAAGTGAGGATACTAAACGCGTTAGAATCGGGAAGGAATACGAGTACAATAAAAATAACAAACAATAAATTGTGCATGCTGGCACACAGTTTAGGTGTCGGGCCAATAGGAAAATTAGAACACATATAGGGAGTAGGTAGTGTGTGACATTGTGGACCGAGGACACCAGTTAATACTTACGTAATTGCATTTGCTTCAGCGACTGCTCGGCGTTGTTGTGCGGCAAGCCCATATGGGGATGTACAGCGAGCTCGAATGGCGAATGTGTTGTTGCTGGCCCACTTTGTTGTTCCAGTGTACTATTGCTTGGTGAAGCTGGTGGCATGCAGCCCGTTATCGTTGGTAGCGTTGGCGCTGTTGGCAAAGGCGATGGTGTCGTCGTTGGTGTAGGTGAGGATCTTAAAATGTTGGCCTTCAATTGTTGTGACTCACATTCGGTTTCAGTATCGGGTTCTTGCTTAATGCGCGACGCTACGCTAGTTTCCAAATCATTAGGGCTAGTCGCTTGTGCTATATTAGTCAAACAATTACCGTTTTTAGAAGCTGTGTTGCTATTTTGATTATTTACTGTTGCTGTACTGTTATTTGTAACGCGTTTCTCATCTCCTTCATCGCTGTTTTGTTTGGAGAAGAGATTACTGCTCACTGACAGCTGAAATGTAATTTTTTTGTTTGAAATAATATAATTAAGATTTATAGTCTTAATAAACAGGTCATGTTTTCGTCTATTTACATCTATTAAAGAGGGTGGCAAAAATGTCAAAACCTTTGACGAGGTTAAAATGGCTTGGGTTGCTGATTACATGAAAGGCTACTGACCATTGTGGCAAAATTTTTGACTTGCTTCTCTTTTCATTCACTTCGATGATTATGAATTAATTAGTTTAAAGATATCTTGGAAACAAAAGGAAGTCTGAGATAAATGACCTTTAGTGGACTCAATGATCTTTGGTAAGGGCAATGACCCCTTTTGTTTAGCTTTGGCGAAGTCGACAAGCAATGATCATGTCAACAATTGCTTTCGAGATCAATGACCTTTGGTAAGGTCAACGACTCCTTTGCTTATATTTAGCCAAATCGACAACCCCTTCCTGGAGTCAATGACCGTTGGCATTGCTAAGGTCAATGGTCTTAGGTGAGGTCAATGACTCCTTTGTTTACAAGTCAAGCCAAGTCAACAGCCTTTCCTGAGGTCAATTTCCCTTTTGTTTACCTTTAGCCAAGACACCAAACTTTCAATGGTCAATGACCTTGGGTGTGGTCAAATACACCTTTGTTTACATGTCGCCAAATCAACAACACCTTCCGAGATTAATGACCCCTTTTTTACATTTAGTTAAATCAACAACCCTTACTGAGATCAGTGACACCTTTGTTTACATTTAGCAAGGTCAACAACCTTTAACGAGGGCAGGACTTCACTAAAGTTCATCAATACTGATCATAACACGAAGTTTAGCAATTGGGAAACATTTCGAATAATTTTCATTCGTGTCATTTTTAGAATTCGCGAAAATACTCAACTTATGCACCGCCCGAGCTTACTCGTCCATACATGTCTCTTTTCATATGACTTTTTTTGGAATTTCACCAAAACTTCATTCGTTCAAAGCTCTCCAAAAACTTATGCGTTACCTTATATGCTAATTTAATTTTCATGTTGCTGCAACAACACAGCTCAACTTAACTGCACATAGGTATAAGTACGAGTATGTTGTCCGTCACATTTGCTACGCATTATTCTTCCATTTCGGTGTGAAAGTGTCATTTTTATTTTAAGAATTTATGAGTGCAACGCTAATAAATCACTTTCACTCGTATACCTGCTCCTGCAACAGCATAGACTCAACCGCGTTGTTGTTGTTTTGCTGTTATTGTTGGTTATGCCATTAAATTGCAACTACTTAATTGTATGAGGCGACGATTCGCATGTTCTTCGTACAACAATTTTTTTTTGCTGTTGTTGTTGTAGTAATGTGGCGTCTCGACATTAACATTCACATTGTTCTTCATTTAAAATGCAATTAAAACTTTTCATTTTTGCAAGAAACTTTGCACTGTATGTCTACGTCTACTTGTTCTACTCGACTCCTTGAGTCTACATCTCTCCCCTCTCTCTTTAATTCTTTGCATTTTAGCAGAGTTGGTGTTGTTGCAGCAAAAGATCGTGAATATGTCATTTTTCATATGTTAAAATGAAGTGCAATGAAATGTGCAACATTTTCGCTAAATGCGCCAAATACCGGGACTTGAGTTGTCTTCAGAAATGAGGGAATTTGTAGATCACTTCAGTTGTTTTGTAGTTATTATAAGATGTTTTAAGTTTACACATTAAAAATAAAATGTTTAAAGAAATTATTTACGAAGCACAGTGATGGTTCAAAAAGTTGGGTCCAAATATTTAAATGTTATTACATAATTTTTTCAAAAATTATTTAATTGAAAAGCAATTCTTCGTGTCTAAAATATTCATATTATAAAAGTCGGTTTAAAACCTCTTTCTAGAGGAGACCCGCTCAAATATACATATAAATGATCAGCATGGATTTAGCTATGTCCGTCTGTATATACGCGTACTAGTCCCTCAGCTTTTGAGATTTTGATCTGAAAATTTTCACACGTCTTTCTCGCATCAAAAAAAGGTTATTCCCTAAGGCAACTGTACATCTCCGACGAAATTGTTCAGATCGGCATATTGCTGCCAAACAAACTTAACGACCGGAATGAAGGGCTTGTACGGAAAACTTTTCCATTAGAAGAGTAATCTTTACCAAATTTATCTAAGGTTAAATAAATTTTGTACTTATATGATGTATTGAGATCTTATAGATTTCTAAGTAGATACTTGGCGCAACAATTTATATTGTTCCTTAACACTAGACGTTATAAAATTTTGATTAATAGCTAAATCGGATCATAAATATCTTATTTCTTAATAAGTGAATTCCTGCGCCATCTGAGATGCCTTTTCGCCTATATATCTCAATAGTTTTTCTTCCAAATAATATTTTCAAAGGACAGCTATGAAAATTTCCTAAAATTAAAAAAGATTTTCTTTGAAGATATATGAAAATTTTCTAAACTCAGTAGTAAATTTGCGCATCGAGTTTTTCAGCTGCCTTTTAGTTAGAAAACACAACTAAAATCATTTGATTCTAATATTTCTAATTACTGCCATAATTTTTTTGCCCACCACTATATATTCAAATTCAAAATTATTGCTTAAGTTCCAACACTCATAATGCATTTTAATGCCTCTGTACAATTTCAAGGCAAATTACAGCCAAATTTTGAGCACATAAAATATTTAAAAATTGTTTATTTTGACATAAAATGCATTTTAGCGAGAGCAGATAAACTCATTGATATATAATATATATCCGGCGTAGATTTCTAATATGCATCATTATTAACTGCTATATATGTATTTGTATTAGAGCTAAATCAGAAGTGCACATGGAAAATCGTTTATCATTATCTGAGAGCGTCGATAAATCACTCTCTCTTTTGTTACATTTCAGAGATCCCCACGAGTACAAAAGTAATGATCAAAATATTGTATTGTAGTTATGTAGCGAATACTAGTATGGCCTGTAATTTACTGCATTATCGGCGAATCTATAATGACTTCTTATGAGTTTGGCGCGTGCCTAATTGTCGACCGGTGAATTTTTGACGACTTCGTACTAGCGCGGAAGGTGCTCTTGAATTGCACGATTTTTGTATTCGTTTTCCTACAGGGTATGCATTTATGAGTATATATGTATGCATATGAGTATATATGTACCTACTCATATGTACGAATCGCGCGAATTTCTGTGTTCGTTCTGCCAAATACTTAGCATATTCGAAAATTAAATAATGAAACCGTAAAATTGTTTTCTATTATGCATTATTATTATTTTTATTTTTTTAGTGCTTTACAGTGACTAATGGTAAATGGTATAATAAATATTACTTGTAAGAAAATTTTAAACAATTATTTATTAATCATAATTGTTGTGTCTGGTTTAGATGTGACTAATTGAAACAAAAATGTATTACTCACGCTCTTAATAATTTATAATTGTTGTGAATAATGTTGTGAGAGAAGAGAAAAGAGGTAAGATTCACCAGAAGATATATTACTTGTTAGTGTAAGGGTATGTATTTCATAATAACTTAAACATTTAAGCTATTTTCTGCAATCGTGCTACTATTCTATAATTATTGCAGTCATATTTCTCACACTTTAAAAATGCAATAGGTATTTATATATGTAGTTTTATACATTTCCGCAGTTTCTACATACTTATTAAGTAGTGAGCAATAGTCCGTCTGTCCCTCTGTATACATGAGATACCGACCTAAATTTTTGCATACGTCCTTTTCGCCTCAAGAAGCTGCTCATTTGTCGAAACGGCCGATATCGTACCACTATAGCATATAGCTGCCATACAAACTGCACGATCGGAGTCAAGTGGTTGTATAGAAAACTTTTTCATTTGACGAGATATCTTCACGAAATTTGGCATAGGTTATTATCTAAGGACACAATACAATCTCCGAAGAAATTGTACGGATCGAATCACTATAGCATATAGCTGCCATACAAATTGACCGCTCAAAGTTCTTGTAAGAAATCGTTTGTATTTGTGAAAGGTATTATAGCTTCGGTGCAACTGAAATTAAGGTTTTTTTTTTTTTTGCTAGCAATATATTATAATATACTTTTGTACTAACAACAGTTAATAAACCAACTAATAGTTTACCGCAAGCGTCTTATTAGTGGCATTTCAAATATGGCAGAGAGCGTAACTCGTCAAGTATGCCCAAGAAAATGGCACAAGTAACTTTCTACGGCTAAGCGGCGGAATAAACACGTAGGTAATATGCTCAGAAAAACAACAAAAAGAATAAATATTAATAGTTGTGGGGAAGTTGTATTATTAAGAGGCTTAATAGAGAAGCAAATTTAGTAGAGAAAGCAGCCAAGTGTCAACTTGCTTTAATTTGCACGCAGCTCTCAACTTCTAATACGCTGCTAAATAAGTTGCTTCAGACTAAATTAAATGGCATAATTTGTTGCTTTTATATATCATACATACATATTAAATATTCCGTCATTACTTTTTATACCACACAAAGTAGTATAAGCATATTTTAATTAATGTTACGTAAAGACGTTTATTATGTAGCAACATGCAACAAACGGCAAAAAAAAAACAACACATTAATACCAATAACATATTGGCATATGTACAGACGCTGACAAATAATGACGTTAGGCTGACTTGATGTCAGCTGTCATTTGTTAATATTCACATGAAATATATGCGAAGCGGGAAAAACCAGCGTTCATTAATACCCAATAAGCAACAAATTTTTGAAAATTATTATTTCATTGACGCGATTATGAATTTCATTTGGTTTGACAAGACCTAACCGTTTAAAAGATATTAATGGTTGCTGTTTGATTATTTTAGGGCACCGAAAAAAAATAATTTTAAATTGCAAAACTCACATTTTTGTAGGAAATTTACTTATTCATGAGACAATAGATAATGCAGGAGGTCCCTGGAAAATAATCACAGTAGAATTTCGTGAAGATATCTTGTCAGATAAAAAAGTTTTCCATACAAGGACTTGATTTGGATCGATCAGTTTGTTTGACAGCTATACGCTTTAGTGGTCCAATATCAGCGATTTCGACAAACGAGCAGCTTCTTGGTGAGAAAATAATGTGTGTCGATATCTCGCGTATATTCAGATGGAAGGACAGATGGACATGGCTTAAACTTAATAGGGTATCTTAAACTTTATAGGGTATCCCACGTTTACTTGGAGTATTACAAATTTCGTATAACACTCAAAACACTGTTCAAGGTATAATCAAATGCGGTTATATATGATTTGTAACAATTTTTTATAATAATAATAACCCAACGATTACCCTCCTCCCGCTAAACCAACGCGAGGGGCGCAATCTGCATACGTGCGAAATTAGCCGAGTCAGAAAAGAGAGTTTTTTAAGTGTTGCGATCTAAAACTGCTCAGCTACAGAAACAAAAATTTTCAACAGCTAAGATTTATAGTTACGATATAATTAATTGTTATATTTTCATTTATTAAGAGAAAACAATAAAGACTTTTTAATTTTGAAATTTTGTTTTCAGACTGGTGAAAATGGAGCAAACTGTTCCATTAAAGATTTTTACTAAGAATATTATGCCAAGCATTTCCCTACGACTAGAAAGTGTGGGTAGATTTATAAGTTTTAAACGACTAGTGTATGGAGGTAAACTTACCCTAGAATTCCATGGGAAATGCGCTATGGCGAAAAGTAAAAATTGTTTTTGAACAGACACTAACTTGTCAGAATGGATTTAGTAGCTAGGGTTCCATACAACAGAGCTATATTCCAATAAAGGTCTAACCAAAGTTGTTTAAGGTGTTTTGGTAATATACGGATCACTAAATTCTTTAGATCAACGTTTAACAAAACTGAGGACAGCTTTTGCTTTCAAGAACGTGGTATCAATATAAAGACTAAAATTAAGCTTAGGGTCGATTTCCCAACGAAATCCATGCTGAGATGAGGAAATTAACGGAGAAATGAAAGAAAGGTTATATGGTCAGTGATGATAGCTTCAAAAGGTTTTGGTATAACTGATAGTTTTGCGATACCTCTATAGTTTTCAATGTTGGAAATAAATCCACTTTTTTGCAAAGAAATTATAAATGACTGTTTCCATATTGAAGGAAATATACCGTGTTTAAGAGAGGAATTAAATATCCTGGTCAAAGGCAAGTAAATAGATTTGGCACTATTTTTTTAGGAAACATGAGGGCATCATGTCTGGGACGTAACTAAAAGATGATTTTAACTTATTTAAATTAAGTAGGACGTCTTCTACAGAAATAATTGGAGCGTTAATTAAAGTATTTGAAAACAGCACGTGCTGATAAGAAAAAGTTTTGGAAGAATTATTACAGTCCTCTGGCAGAACAAGAGGATTATTCTAAATAACATAACACTTTGAAGATTTACCAAATTTATTCGGAATCAAATTAATTTGGTTCATACCCAATTTTTAACTTTTTGATATATATATATATATATAAATATATATAGTTACAACCAAAAGAGGTACAAGACCGAATTTCAGACCGTTAATACAACATAAGACCATTAAAAAGAGACCCCCTAACAAAATGAATAACAAAACAGATTTTTCAACTGGTGGCAACTTTACTTTAATGTCCCATACTTTCGTATAATTGAAATAAATTAATATTTATTTGGCACTCAAATTTATTGGCAGCCAGCTTTTATGTTTACCGGGTATCTTAACATTTCTGTCTACTTTTATTTAGTTCACGTTAGGTAATTAGTATGAAATATTGCGAAATTTATGAGTTACATTAGTTAGCACAACTCACACTCGCGCTTATTCCCCCAAATTACCCTCTCTTTTCACATTTTCTACTCACCTTCGCATTGTATGTTGGTGATGCTCCATCGCAATTCGCGGAACGACTTGAATCATGCGCTGCAGCGGTGGCACTTGTTGTCGCTGTATTGTTGCTGTTGTTGTCAGAATGCGTAGTCGTTGTTGTAGCTGACGAAGTAGTTAATGCTGATGGTGTGGCTGTTGTCATTGTTGTTGTTGTTGTTGTGCTATTAGCAACATCTTTGGTATGTTCGCTGTGCGTGTGACGCTCCAATGCGGCCGAATTGGGGAAGATCTTGAAACACACATTACATAAATGCGTCTGTGGATGTAGACCTAGTGAGGAAATAATAGAAATATAATATTTCAATTACCATAAGAAGGCTTTGAGTTAAAGAAGGGGTACAATAAATTTGAGAGCAATAATTTATATGGTTTTTAATAAAATCTAAGTTTGGATAGGTTTGGGAAATTTAATATCTTGCTTTAATTACATTTTTCTGCATCACATAATTGTCTGAGGATCTATTTTGTTTTTAAAATCAATCAATTGTTGGGTCTGCATTTTTTCTAACATCTACGGATCAGATGCTTGGATCTAGAAACTTCAAAAAGTCCAAGGATTTCTTACAATGGCTGTGTATCAGAGTTAATCCTTACATGACTGTTCTTTACCCCTCAAAACAGCTCTTCTTTCGTCCTCACACCAGTCTATTCACTAGAAGTAACTCTATGTGGGGAAATCTCAAGGGGTCTGTGAACCCAAATCAATATAATAGTTGCATGGGTTTGTACCAATTTCAAAGCAGTCACTCATTGCACAACTATGCACGACGTTTCGACAAAAAAGTTAAAAACCAGTGAACTTAGACCTCGAATAGTTAGCTTTTATCTTGGCTCATATTTTTAAATAGTCGTTTACGTTGTAGTGATGCCCCTGTGTGATGTATGAGGAACATCTGAGGCATTAATTTCACAAGCAAATATTTTCAATGATCATAAATTTTCCATGACGAGAAAGAGTTGTGACATTAAATTGGGGAAATGAGAAATGGCCGTCAATACAGGCATTGCAAAAGCGCTAAAAATGCTTACAGATGTTTTTTATTTATATTTAAATTATTGCGTACGCATTTAAATGAGGTCTGTTATATAAAATATAACAAGAGAATAGCAGATTATACCAAAATAGCGCCACCACAGCCGACAACGCAATTGATTCATGCGTCAGCGCTAACGAACAAATGAACAGCTACGTCGGCTGCAAGTAAACGAGCGTTATTTTTTTTTTTTGCACTACACAAGCACTCGCAGTGATTTCCTGCGCGCAATGAAGCTATTTACGCGTCTATAAATTGAATTATGCCGCGCAAATTGAATGCCAAACGCGCTACTTGTCACTGCGCCGAGGTCAAAGGGCACAGACGCGAAGTCTTTGTCATTATCGCTGCAGATGTGTCACTTGACAGAGTGAAAATGACAAGAAATACGAGCTAGCGCGAATCGAATGAAGTTTATTGTATTGAATTGTAGAGACAGCGTAAGCCAAACAAAGCATTGTGGGGAGGAAATAACCAGGAATAAAAAAAAATTGTTAAACAGTTGAAGAAAAAGAGCTTGAGGATCGAGTAAATGCGCGCGTTAATTAAGAACACTGCTTTTCCTTGTAGCCTGACAGCGAGAGTTCAGCATTGCTGGCATCGCTTCTACAGACTGAGACGGCTGAGACGCAATCATATGGAAGATGACGTTGTAATGGAGTTTCACGCTTTTTAAATTGCGCATAAAAAATTGAAAGCAACTTTCACGCCTCCAAAAAGCATACATATTACGCTAAACAGTTTCCCAACCATTCACTATTAGAACAACGACAACACTTACCCATAAATCCCAGCGGTCCGAAAGGCAATAGCGGAAACTTGGCATGCGCGCCCAACATCTGCATCTCTTCGCGCGCCGCTGCCATCAGCAGAAAATTCGGTGACATACCCAACATGGGTAGATGATGTTCTAGCGCCTTCTGCGTTACGCCATTAGCGGGAAAACCACGTGCCGAGAGATCCATAGCCGCTGCAGCTGCCATAGCAGCCATCGGATTGGGCAGCTCAGCGGTATCGCCACGTTCAGCAGTCTCATGCATACGTTCGTCGGCATAGTCATCGGCTAGACGACGCTCGAAGGGCGTTAGAGAGCTTGTATTTTCACGCGAATCATCTGTGCTGTCCATCGTCATGAAATCATCAAAATCACCTTGCGACGATTCCGAACGCTGGCCGGAGTAATCGGATGTTGTGGAGAAATCAAAATTATCCGATGTGCCCATTGACTTATTCGAATTTTGATCCTCAATTGCGGCATCCATGTGCGCTTTCATGCGTGCATTATGCTCCGCCACAGCTTCGGCTGTGTTGGGTGTGCCCGGTGGCAGTGCGCCCATTGGCAGTGAAAATGCGCCAAGCATGCCACCATTTAGGTTAACGCCCGGTAGACCAACCAAAGCGCCGCTGCCATCGTCGATCGTGTGTATGCGTATGTGTTGTTGTAGTATGACGCCATTCGAGAACTTCTGATGACAGACAGGACATTTGAATTGGCTACGCATAGGCGGTTTGATTTTGTGTATGCTCATGTGCGCCTTCAGATTACCCTTGGTGGCGAAGGCACGTCCGCAAATTTTGCAACGAAACGGTCGTTCGCCGGTATGTGTGCGTATGTGCATTTGCAATGAACTACGGCAGGACATCACTTTGTGACAGAAAATGCATTGATTTGGATCCGTGAGCTTATTCTCAATATTATCCACCAGCTGCTGTAGCTTCGATGTCTCCGACGTTGTGTCGATCTCGATGAGATCCTCCCACGATTTATCGATAATGCGTTCCATCTGCGCCAGTGAGTATTCGGATGAGATATGCGGCGGCTCGAGCCCACTATTGCTGGAGTTACGACTTAGCGATGAACGTCGTAAGATCGCTGCGGATTTGTGCAGAAACTCGCCACCATCCAGCATGCGTTCGCGCTCACGTTCGCATTTATCGTGTGCATGTGGTTTACGTGTTTCGTTGGCGCCGATATGCGGCGTATTGGCGCGTGAGTTACGTTTCCGCGCATTACTACTACGCTTTGACGCATGCTGATTTGTTTGTGGCGGGTTGTGACTGCTTGTACGCTCCGGTTTTTCATGTTTTGCCTCTAAACTTGGTTTCAATACCGGCGATGTCTTTGGTGACTTTTGCGGCTCTAGAGGAGACGGGTTTTCGTGCAACACAGGCGAATGATGCGGCTTGCTTAAGTCCTGCGGCCTGTCAATGGGCGAAGTTGGCGCTTCCGGTTTTGTGACACGATTGGGTATTGATTGCTTTGCATGTTCCTCATGATTTTCCTTGTGAGCAATTAGTGGCGTATCCTCACAACCCAGCTGCTTGCTGTCGTCTGCTGGCGCGGGTAATCTAACTGGTGTTACAGCTGACAATATTGGGCCGCCAACTGGTGCGCCATAAGTTGGAAACTGTTCGACAACAGCGCCACCCGGTCCAGGAGCTAGCAACATTGGCGGAAATATCTGTGTATGCCGTTGATAGTGGACCTTCAGATTGCCCTTCGTTGTAAATTTGCTGCCGCAGACGTTACAATGAAATGGACGTTCGCCAGTATGTGAGCGCAGATGTATCTGCAATGCCGAAAAGGAGCCAAAGATCTTACCGCAATACTTGCAGCGGTGTTTAAATATTTCCCCTCTACCCTGCGCATCCTTCTGCGAGTACTCGTACTCGTCTTGCAGATGTGAAGCATGCAAGCTTTGCGAGGCCGAATCGAGCACCTCCTCGGTGCGACGTTGCAACATCTCCAAGCAGTTCATCTCATTAGGTGCGGGGGATGGATCATGATTCGTGATAATGCTAGAGGCTAGAGAGGAGCTTATGTCGCACATTAAGGGTTGATAATTGTTGTTATTACTATGAGCTGGTAGCGTTGCACCAACAGCACCCAGACTAGTACTGCCTGTATTACTAACTTCTTCATTTTTGGCATGCTTTGACGCCGGCTCCCTCGCCTTCTTATTTGTTCTCTCTTCAGTCTTTGTGTTCTCTTCATTTGACGTAGATACCGGCCGCGTGTGTATGAACGGCTCATCAGCTTTTAAGTTGTTGTGTGTAGTAGCTGTTACTGCTTCCGCCAGCTTTTCTTCCGTTTCCGCCGGTGGCGTTTGCAAGAATCTTCGCTTTGGCGCTGAGTGCTCTGCCTCTTCAGTCTGCTGTTGCTCTTCAAGCTGCTCGGTATCCATTGTCAGATCGCCAGCGCGCTTCAATTGACTCTGCAAATGTTGTATAAGTTGCAGTTGCATCAGATGTTGCCGCTGTACATTCAGTATCGTCGATTGCACCATTGCCAGCTCGTTCATGGCTTCGCCGTAATTTTGTGTGCCGCTTAGCGCTGAGGCGGCGAATTGCGCCACCGCCACTTTGGTGTGTTGTAAAGCCTCCAATGCCACATGACCGCTACCGGGTAGTCGAGTGCTCGGCAGCACAGACAAATCCAACGCCTCATTGCTATCGCCCGCCAACTCCTCCGACTCGTCCTCGCCCTCATCGCGCTCTACACTGCTACGTTGTTCCGCAAGCTCTATGCTGGCTGCGCGCATATTGCGCTGCGGATCGGCGTTCTCGTCGACGATCGCGCTGTCGGGCGTGGAATTGGCGCTCTTCAAGGGTAACCGGATGTCCGCTTTGCGTTCATCCCCACAAGTCGCATCCTCGCCGTTGTGTTCATTGTGTTCGCTGCTGCTGACCACGACTCCACCGCCAGCGCCGACGCTACCGCCATTATTATTGCGATCGGCATCCAGTTCTTTGCTCAAATTACTTATGCTGCCGCTACTATTGCTGCCACTCGAATTGCTGCGCAAACCGCGATAGTTGATGCGATTATGAAAAATGGAACACATGCTCTGTGTCTCTCTTACGACTTGCCAGTAACCGGTGTTGACCAACGGTTGGCACAAGCTGCCATTAGCAGCTTCCAAACTCTCGAAGGCTTCGCAGTTTTTCAACCTTCATTGGTTGCTCATGGATATTGGAGTCACTAGCGGTTTAAGGCTGCCTTCCAAATCGAGAATTTCGTACAACTTTTACCTAAAAAGAAATAAGAGCAAAAGTGCGCGGAATAATTAGTGTTTCTTTACTGGGCTAAATAGATACGAGAATATTTGTCAACAACACAAATAACGTCAATAAATTTATTTAATATCTCTCGGCATTTATGCACATCAATAATATGTTTATTTTTTGAATATTTAACACAAATCATTTCTGTTTTTTTTTTCAATTCTTGGTTTCGCGCCGGCTTGCCTGCCCTCAATCGCGGTTTCCAAAATATCGTCGACGACGCCCGTTCACGTAAGCGAGACATGATATTCAGTCTAAATAATCGTGTACACGCAATCGTTGGCGAAATAACGGTGAACTTTATGATAAGTTTTTTATTCCACTTAAAATGAATATATGAATAGTTTGCGTATGAACGGAATAAATGAACATATTGCATAGGTTTAGGCGGGCGGCAGTATAATTTTACTTATTTTTTACTCTTTTGGATTAATTTCAAATAATACTGAAATTTTTTGTCTCTTTAATAAAGCATTGCGCATTTGGCTACATAATTGGCACGGCTAGCTAATTGCAGCTTATCGAAAAGTCTCTCTAGCAAAACTTATGTATTATAAATAATATCAAAAGACTTAACATATATGAAGAAAGAAATCCCGGTTTGTTGTAAATATATTTTATAACTCGAATAAGCTGCAATAGGTCGAAATCGAGTAATTTACTGTTTGGATCCATTCAACACTTTATGCTTGGAACCAGAAAGTCGTAGAATTGATGCGCTTATAGTATATTAAATATAGTAATATTATATTAAATAATTGAAGTAAATATTTCTCTTTTATTTCCTTCGAGAAATTTACTCTTTCTGTTACAAACTTCACGACATAAGTTAACTGATTTTTAAAAAAATACGGTCAAGATAGAAATAGGTGATTCGACCAATAGTATGATATTTCTTACAATAATAAACGCAAATTTCAAGGGCGGATCCAAAAAGAGGGGTGGGGGTGTATTGGGTGTCAAAACCCCCCCAAAATTGGAAATTTGTAATTATAACTCAGATGAATTTCTTACAGTAATCAACGCAAATTCCAGTGGCGAATCCAAAAAAAATGGTATGGGGGGTGTTTTGGGTGTCAAAACCCCCACCAAATCGGAAATTTTTAATTAAAATTCAGATGAATTTCTTACAGTAATCTACGAAACTTCCAGTGGCTGATCCAAAAAGTGTGGTAGAGTGATTTTTTAAGTGCCAAAACCCCCCAAAATCGGAATTTTTAAATTAAATTTCAACATAATTTACGAACTAACATCAATATTGAAAATATGTTGAAAGGAAAAACCGAACCCCCCGCAAAACGAAATTCTGTGACCACCACTGCTAAATTCGTTGAATGATAAGTCATCTATGAACTAATATATTGGTTCGGTCTTCGATTTTTCGCATCATATTATTTTAGATATTAAAAGGAATCTGCTTAAAAACCTTAAATAACGATTACTTCGGGCTTGTCCGTGAAAATTTTTCTTGTGCAACCTTCAGATAATGTATTTAAACAAGTATTTGGATTGGCATTCAAATCAACAAAATGCCAAAAAAATCCTGAAAATTGAATAGAAATTGACGGACCGTTTTGAGCCCACCACAGTACTGCTAAAGCCTTTCGCGTTAGCGTATAGTTATCCTGATGCCAAAGTAAGTGAAAACAAAAGTACCAAAACAGGCAATCACGCAGAGACCTCTTCCTTTTTTTGCAGACAGCATCGACAGTTTCTATCTGGCAAAATTCTTTATCTGCACACATGAGTCCCAAAACAGACTAACACCGCCTCATATAACTGATGAATCATCCTGAGCACTAGAGGCTCTTCGGCTTATTTTCCACAATTGGAAGCAGTATATCCATTCCTATCTTACCTACTTGAAAACCGCTATTGTGATGTGAAAAACTGAAGTTGATATAGAGTTTGCAGTATAACACATCATTAACCTTCTTGCTAAACTTTGGTTCATCCGTATAGAAGCTTCTCCAAAATCATCAAGCCAGCAAGCTTCCTGAATCTCACAATTCCTACTTGTATTGGTTTGAACGTAAAGATATCACTTCTGTTTTTCGCATGCCAAGCATCAAGGTTGCCGACCCAGCCTAATTAATCTCTTCGAGCGTTATCAGGACTATCAGCAGCCTAGTGATATAGTGATAGCACGCTCCAGATATTAATACTATTACATTATTTAGGGTCGCCTTAATGTTTTTAGCGCCTTGGTTGGAAAATATGGAGTCTTATTCTTCAATAGTTATTAAAATTGATGAATTTCGTCGATTTCTTGCAAAGCGCTTTCCCCTCAAAAAAAAAAAAGAATATTTAAAATCTAGCGCTCAGAAGACAATCACTTTATACCTATTGTAATTCGGCATTCTTTCTACACTTCACAACATCATCGCATTGCTGCCACGCGTCACATGTTTGCAGAAGTTTTCCGGGTGCGATAAATGTGTCATTACGTAAATTTCGTCTCTTCTAGGTAATTTTCATTTAAGTACCAATTCGATAGGCGGTTGGTTACTTGCGCTAAAATATATATTTTTTTTATTTTTTCGTGTTTTCGCCTGCTATCTCTTAGTAATTGCCAGCAAATGTTGATGGCGGTAATTTATTGATATATTGCTAGGAATAACTCAGCGATATCTGTGCTGCTGGCTGTGGCCGCGTGTCGCTGCCGTCAACGGTGCTGTGGCAACATGGAATAATTGTCGCGTATTTTCGTCGCTCGCGTATCAGCGAATATATAATGAGACGCATTTATATTTATATACAACTATGTATATGGCGTGTATGTGGAGTGGTGTAGTGTAGCTGTTGGCGGCAGATGGGGCGCTAGGCGAGTGACGGTGCATGAATACATGTGCCTGTTTGCGGCATTTTGGTCAACTATTGCCACCCACACTGCAACAATGCAGCTGTATTAGTTTTGTTGTGGCAGTCATAAATTGGCAGGATAAAACTAGATTTGTAGCGGTATGGAAAGTGCTACTTCCACGGCTGCGACGCCAACGACTGCTTGTCGGCATCTACTTGTGCCACTTCATATTAGAATAATTGCATAAATGTTTAATGCATATTTAAGGTTTATTGTTGGTGTGATTTACGTTCGCTTAACCGGTAGCATTCATCTATATCATTTTGTTTATTTGCATTTGATTATATTACAAAATTCGTAATCTCACGCAAAAATCATGCAATCACAGGCTATGATTGCACATATGTAGCGCAATACTGCTTTAATTTTCAGTCAATAACGCTGAGCGCGAGTTCAAAAGGACAACAGAGTTTAGTGACTTTATATAAACTTTAGTCTGTCTAAAATTGTACACATGTAATAAGTTTGCAGTTACATGCAACAATATGACATAATAAATTGAAATATTGCAAAAGTAAACTCGTATATATACATATAATCGTATATATACATATATTTAGTTCCAGAAAATTACTGTACTCAGTTGACAAATACAATTTTTGTAACCATTACTTATAGTAATTTAGTTAGCATTAAAATTAATATTCGAGTACCATTATGAAAAGCTTACCACTACCATTACATTTGTCATAATGTATTTCATTAACTTATGTTTATAATTAGGAGTGCAATTACCAAATCCAATTACCATTACAAGTTACATTAGCAAATATTAAAGCTTAAAAAATTGAAATGCCATTGTTATTATCCTTATCACAATAATAAGCATTGGCATTACTATTACCAATTAAAGTACCACTACTGTCGCTTTTTCCAATACAATTACAATAATCATCAGATATGTAATTACTTTGACAAAATATTAAAAAAAAAAAATACATATACTCTTTCAAATTTACATTAACAGACAATTATCATTATCACAGCTATGTAGTTTTTGTACTTTCAATTACAGAAGAACCGCAATGACCATTGCAATAAGGATTATCAATATTACTAACTTATTATTGCAAACAGAGTTGTTTTTTTAAGTGATTTAAAAATTACTTAAAAATTTCATTACTTCTATAGTAACAATTACATTTGCAATATCATTACCATTCTCATAATAATTACGCAAAAAATGCCTAATAATTTCTTAAATTCAAGAATTATACTGTAAACATTACAAATTACGATTACTTTTAGCAGCACTCTTACGATTACCATCAAGAAAATTTAGTATTATTATTACTGTTAGTACAATACCAGCAAACACAATAAAATTTATAATTATTAAATCAATTACCAATAAATTAATGATTACCACAATTATGACTATTATCATTACAAGTGACATTGTTATTACAAATCGCACAAAAATACATAACTGCTGTAGTTTCCAATAATTTTATTAATTTATTATCCTTTCCCATTACCAAACTTTGATAAAAACAGCATTACAATTACTTTGGTATTACAATTGTAAATATAACAAATAATTAAAAGTTATCATTACTTTCACTATTATAATTACAATTACCAATTCATAAAGCTACATTACGATTACAATTACAAACACATTACTCTCAAATGCATCATATATTATAATTTCTTGCATTAACCATATCAATTACATTTACCAGTACCATTACTAGTATTGATAGCAAATCTAACAATACTAAATAATGAAGATTGAATTTCAAAAAATTTTCGAGTAGAATGAAAAATTATCCCACTAAAATATTAAATTATATGAATGTGAGTAAAAAATTACTCACGGTAATCCGAATAATGCGAACACATTCAAAAATTGCGCATGAGAAAGCATTAAGCGGTAGCAGCACTGAAATGAAAGAATTCGCTCGGGCCGATCGCAATGAAACCGGAATTGTTGGTGCAACATTGTGAGAAGCAAATTTTTTACACTCAATGTGCACTAGTTTTTACGCTAGCAATCAGCAATCGGTACTAAGAGCCTTGTGGCATGCAACCGGATTCCACAAGCATATCAATACACACATAGGTATATGCGTAGAAGAAGATCTGACAGACGCGCAAGCAG